GAATATATTTTGGATTGATGATATCCAGCTAGATTTGGACAAAGAGAGACAACTCCATCATTTTCATATTTCAGATGTGGGTTTGTACCGATTTCTGATACAAACAAAACAATATTAAAACAACATGATAACTGAAGCAAAGCTTAATATACTTCACCTACTGGTTTAAAATCAAATACAATGAACGATAACTATTTTACTGCACTAGATGCGCATTTCGACAATTTGATCTCTTCAGTGATTCTCAAGGCGAACATATTTGAAAATCCAAAATTCAATATAAATGTTGAAGAGCTGATACCCCCCCCCCCCCCCCCCCCAAAAAAAAAGCAACTAAAGTAAAAGTCAAACCAGGACAAACCGTAGTATACTCTAATATCAGTCGGTGTACTTCCTAGAAGATTTCATAGAGCAGAGCAATAAACAGAACAAGAAGACACGACTTTTGATATGTCCATTATTAACTGTACAGAATTTCCATGTAGTAAACACAATAATATTTTAAGTCTTCAACAATAGAATTGAGAATTGATGAATATCCCAAATTACAAGACGCAGTGATTATATAAAAATTTACCTATAAGTCTATCGAGTCAAAATGGAGAAATACATCAGGCTTATTCAGCATTATTAATAAGTTTGCCATATATTTTGTATGCCGATAACCAGTAAGTACATTAGTCAATGTTAATGTTGTTTAACTAAGGGAGAGTGAATTGAGGTTGTTATTAAATTTCTATATTATTGAGAAATGTTTGGATTGTTTTGCATATAATATACTAGTATATATAATATATATCATTTTGATATCTGCAAGTATTGTGATGAATATTTAAAACAAATCAGATAGTTATAATTTACCTATTTAGCTGTGATTCATAACGGTAAAGAACCTTTGTAATAAGAGGAACACTGTTCGTTTTCCCGTGGAAATATGAATCTACTGACATGATACTTTATCTAAGAAAAAAGTAATTGTTGTTTATGCTCAGTGGTAGCCTACAGTTCATCGGTCGTTGCCTTGTGCTATTTAAGAAGACAATACATAGTATGAACCATGTGATGTCCAGTGGCAACTTTCACTTCATTTGTCGTTGCCTTGTGTTATTTAAGAAGACAATACACAGCATGAACCATGTGATGTCCATTGGTAACTTTCATTTCATTGATCGTTGTCTTGTGTTATTTAGAAGTCCAATACATAGTGCGAATCATGTGATGTCCAGTGGGAACTTTCACTTCATTGTGCGTTGCCTTGTGTTATTTAGGAAGAAAATACATAGTATGAATCATGTGATGTTCAGTGGCAACTTTCACTTCATTGATCATTGCCTATTGCTATTTAGGAAGACAATACATAGTGTGAATCATGTGATGTCCAGTGGCAACTTTCACCTTATTGGTCGATGACTTGTGTTATTTAAGAAGACAATACATAGTGTGCCCGAACCATGTTATGTCTAGTGGCAACTTTCACCTCATTGGTCGTTGCCTTGTGTTATTTAGGAAGTGTGAACCATGTGATGTCCAGTGGCAACGTTCATTTCGTTGGTCGTTGCCTTGTGTTATTTAGGAAGACAGTGCACAGTATGAACCATGTAATATCCTGTGGTAACTTTCACTTCATTGGTTATTGCCTTGTGTTATTTAAGAATAAAATACATAGTATGAACCATGTGATGTTCATTGACAACTTTCACTTCATTTGTCGTTGTCTTGTGTTATTTAAGAATAAAATACATAGTATGAACCATGTGATGTTCAGTGGCAACTTTCACTTCATTGGTCGTTGTCTTGTGTTATTTAAGAAGACAATACACAGCATGAACCATGTGATGTCCTGTTGTAACTTTCACTTCATTGGTCGTTGTCTTGTTTTAAGGTCAATGAACCATGATGAGGGGATGGAGCTATATGATTAAGCACCATGGAGAAGAGACTTGCAAATACTAATACAACTGCATATCGAATATCATTGACTTTACATTAGTGGTTCCTCTTAAACTGATATAATCACTAACTTTAACATGTGAAATATGCAAAACATTTAAAGACGATAGACCATGACTGAGATGATGATGATGATGATGGATGGCTGCTAAGCGTCCAGCGGCAAATTAATATGCATATTCAGGACAAGATCATGTTAATGTAATATGAATAATAACCCTGCTTTGTACTAGACCGACACGCCGAACAGGATTTTTAACGTGCTAGTTCACAAGGTAACAGTCTACAGGTGTCCGTTGTCATATGGTATTTTGAACCCCATGGAAAATTGACCCCGGGGTCAAAATACCGCTATGGTAAATCGAACACCCCCCATGGTAAATTGAACCCCCTGTATGGAAAATTGAACCCCCATGGTAAATGGACCCCCCTGTCTTTTTCATTCTAGATAATTGTTATAACATTATACATTATTTTAAAGCTTATTGTAGATTGAAAATAAGATAACAAAAAGGGGAGGTCAATTTTTCATGGTAGGTAAAAAAAAATACAATGGCATGGTATAAGTGCTCTGAAGTCTTTACCAACATAATTTCATTCAAAATACTTATTGAAGCATTGTAACTAGACCATGTAGCTTAAATGCTTTGATTATTTAAAATCCTTACATATAAAGGGAGTTAAATTTTCCATGGTAAAAAAAGGGGAGGGGGTCAAATTACCATGGCTCAGTAAAAGTCAAAACATCTTTTTCAACATGTTTTATATATATACCATATATTAATTAGAGTATTAAAACTTTGAAAAGCAGTTTGAAATAATTCGATTTTTTTAAATTGGAGGTGTTTAGACAAGGGGGTTCAATTTACCATGGCAGGGGGTCAATATACCAAGGTTAATTAAAATTGTTAATAAATCTCTTCCAATATGTGACAGATATACCAAATACTAGTTACAGCATTATAACTATGTAAAATAGTGTGAACAGATATGATTTTTTGAAATTTGAGGTGTATAGGAGGGGGTTCAACATACCATGGCAGGGGGGTCAAAATACCATGGCTAAGTAAAATTTTCCAAACATCTTTATAAGCATGTTTAATATATACAAACTATTTATTGAAGTATTATGACTATGCAAAAGAGTTAGAAAAGCTATAAATTTTGAAATTGGAGGTGTATAGGTGGGGGTTCAATATACCATAGCAGGGGGGTCAAAATACCATGGCTAAGTAAAATTTTCCAAACATGTTTATAAGCATGTTTAATACATACCAACTATTTATTGGAGTATAATTACTATGTAAAGGAATTAGAAAAGCTATAATTTTTTAAATTGGAGGTGTATAGGAGGGAGTTCAATATACCATGGCAAGGGGGTCAAAATACCATGGCTAAGTAACATTTTCCAAACATCTTTATAGGCATCTTTAATACATACCAACTATTTATTTAAAATTATAGCTTTTCTAACTCCTTTACATAGAAATAATACTCCGATAAGTAGTTGGTATGTATTTAACATGCTAATAAAGATGTTTGGAAAATTTTACTTAGCCATGGTATTTTTACCCCCATGCCATGGTATAATGAACCCCCTCCTATACACCTCCAATTTCAAAAAAATCATAGCCAACATATTGTACATTAGATAATTTGCAATACTTTTTATCTAAAACAGGGGGGTTCAATCCCATGGTAGGGTTCAAAATACCATATGGGAAAAATGACCCGGGGTCAATTTTCCATATGGTATTTTGACCCCAGGTTCACTTTTCAGTGGGTTCAAAATACCATATGACACCGGAACACATTATTCTGACTCCGAGCCAACCAGTCTTTGCTCTTGCTCATTAATGCTGCGTGCTTAGCAGAGAAGCAGCAAATACCAATTTTAAAGTCTTTGGTTTGACCCAGTTGAGGTTCAATCCTACGACCTCCCACACTCGAGGTGAACACGCTACCACGAGACCACCAAAACAGTTTATCATGAATGAGGGGACAGAGCCAAAAATATAGCAGTTATCAGGAATATCTATAAATATCTTTCACTTGATATTAACCAAACAACAATCAATCAATCAACAGTCAACATGGAGATATTTCTTAATAGAATAAAATAAATGGGGAATGTGCCCATGGGACACAGATGATGAACGCTTGCATATCATATAAAATTATAAAGGGACATAACTGAAGAGCGGTAAAAGTGATGCTACCTAAATTTGTTATTGATCTAAGTTTTGTAGTAAGAAGTATTGTGTATAAGTTTCATAACATTTGGTTGAGGCTAACTTAAGTTAGAGAACGGAAACGAAAAATTCAGCATTTTTTCCATTTGTAAAGGGGCACAACTCTAGAACGGTTAAAGTGACACCACCAAAATTCAAACTTGATCTGTGTTTTGTGGTAATAAGCATTGTGTATAAATTTCATAACATTTGGTTGAGGCAAACTAAAGTAAGAGAATGGAAACGAAAAATTCAGCAATTTTTCCATTTGTAAAGGGGCATAACTCTGGAACGGTTAAAGTGACGCCACCAAAATTGTGTTTTGTGGTAATAAGCATTGTGTATAAGTTTCATAACATTTGGTTGAGGCAAACTAAAGTTAAAGAACAGAAACCAACTTTGGGATGTACAGACAGACAAGGGTAAAACTTAATGTCCCCGCTGCTAAGGCGGGGGCATAAAAACTAAGGATATGGAGATATTTCTTAATAGAATAGAAAAACTAAGGATATAGAGATATTTCTTAATAGAATAGAAAAACTAAGGATATAGAGATATTTCTTAATAGAATAGAAAAACTAAGGATATAGAGATATTTCTTGCTGTTTTTTCATTGTTGACATCTACAACTGCCAGAAAAAGTATACCCATGTCTTTCAAGGTAACATAGAGTTAGAAACAACTGTCAACACTGAAAAACTTCTTGCCTGCATAACCAACAAATATTTACCATTTTTGACACTGCCAACGCCAGAAAAAGCATACCAAAGTCTTCTACGGCTACAAGAAACTACTGTCAACAAAAGACAAAAGAGATAATGAATCAATGATGTTTAATAATAAAAAAAATCCCTAAAGATCTGTAACAAAAATATTACAACATAATAAATTATATAAAACACAAGGTGTATAAAGTAAAAGACATCAAAAAGGTGTTTATTCACAATATTTATGGTGCTTTTTGGAATTGTAACACTAAATTTATAACTAACTACAGTAATATATGTCCTATTACTGGTGATTGAGGTCAAGTATTTAGATTGTTCTTTATGAAGACTTTGTCCTGTATCTAGAGCAGCTCTACAATTAACATATGGTCCTTGCATACTCATTTTACAGTTATTCAAAGAAAGAAAATCCAGTAAACAACCAAAACTTTTCCATCTCTAAATAACTCTAGTTTTACTGATACAAATCTTAATAAATATCATTTACAAATTTGTAGATAAAAGTATCCAAAATTTAGGTTTAAAATGTTGAAGATGTCAAACATTTCTTCTATGAATGTAACTCATCAATATATGAAAAATATCACATCTATAAATATTTTTCAGATTGATCATCTAATCTACTTGTAACATTAATCTTATAGAAAAAATTTTTGATTTAAATACCCTTTTCAATTTTGGCAAATTTAAAGGAAGGCATACTTGATAAGTCTAATATCTTAAAATATATAAAAACTGTTATTCTGATATTCCACTTTTCCAAAAATTTTACAATTAAATAACAATAATTTTACCAGTCAGGTATGCTATAGCCTGTAAATGCAGTTGGCTATGGTAGGCAGGGTATAAATTTTTTTAAATTTATTCGGTTTTGCTTCTGAAAAATATCAATTGGCCAATTTAAGCAAGAATTTTAATGGATGCATGTGTGTACTGAACAGTATCCTGAGAGTAATATGCATAAAAAGTTGCCAAAATTTGCTTTTTTCAAGTGTAATTATGACATGATAATAAGACATAGAAAGAGGAACAGCTTCAAACTCTTATTTTTTTTTCTGTTGGTTGGCAAATGATCAAAATATAGTAGTCATTTATTTGGAATAAATCAAAAATTGGTGTCAAAAACAGAAAAAAAAAACCTTTTTATTCCAACTTATTTTCAGTGGTAATTTGAAAAAGTCAATATGTGAACATACGAGGCATTTTGATTTTAGATTTAATTTTTGTAGTTAAAAAAGATTTATCTTCATTTTATATTTATCTGCCAAAACATCTTATCAAACTCTGTACCCTTATATCAGGTAATTTTGCTAACATAGAGTTACATGGGCGGACTACAGGACAAACAAAATTACCGGCCAGTATTGCATCTCATTTGATTAAAATCCACTTGGTTCTGGACAAAACTTTTGGTTTTTACCGTTATGTATATACTAATTTACCTGATAGGGATATACTAACATTACTAATAGTGTAAAAAAGGTAATAATGATATGAAGCCTTATCACAGATTCTTTGATGAGAGATCACCATACATTGAGCTTATCAAGGGAGATAATCAAAATAACATACAAACAGATATATAACTCACAAAATATATTAAAGCTGCACAAGATTATGTCTATAGGACGGAATGTACAACACTGACTCTGTTAAGACCATTTAAAAAACTTTCTTAGTCTTTTATCACTGACCTAGATCATATTTATACATTGAATCACATCTGAATTACAGTGTAAAGTGTGACAATAAACAAGGAAATATATATCTGGCCAGTTACCTACAAGACATAACAACTAACACCAATATACTATACAGTTAGTTATGTGAGGTTGTAATGGGTCACTTCAAAAATGAAATTGCATCAAGGCAAAGTAATTGTTTTTGACCTTATCGATTGGTCCTAGCCTTCACTGGTCAACATAAATCATAAAAACAGTAAATAAACTCCTAAATTCGTCTACCGGTATTCTATTTACATACACATGTATTTACTATTTTTTTTAAAGATTACCCAAACTGATCCTGTATGTTAACAAATTAACATTTGGTACTATACTTGTGTGTGTAGCTTAATTTGAATATCATTCAAAAACATAACAAAAATAAATCTTTAACTGATTTTAAATAATTTAATCCAGTATTATTTTCATTTTGAATAACTATTTTAATTTTAATGTTTCGGTCACATTTTGCTCATGAGTTATGGAACCGAAATTTCGACAATTGACTACAGCACTTTATTCTAAAACTGATCATTCAATCTAACATTATACATAATAAACCAAAAAACATCCTGATACTCAACTCTTATAACTACATTTCTGCAGTTTAAATATCTTAAATTGAATGTTTTATATATATTCTGTTCTAAAAGAATTTTATGCAATCAGAACTTGCTAAGTAGTTTCAAAGTCATTGTTATAGAGGCACATGCAATCTTGGATTTATTGCATATTGAGGTATTAAATATCAAATTTCAAAGTCACATGATTGCCATACTCCAATCAGATTGCTGAGATTCAAATAAAGCATACACATAATGTAACTGTATTGTGATTGTCTTATAAATTTCTGCAAGTATTTCAGCAGCTATAATTTGAGTCATGCTTGATTGAAATTTTGGAAAGAGATCACAAGACCGAACCCTTCAGTCTGAGACTTAATAATGCTTATAAGACGGTATACCTTAAAATATTTAAGTTTTGAAACAAAATTTCAAATTATACTGTAAGATTTATGCTTAAAAAAACTTTCAAATTATCAATTTTAAAAACTCTTAGACCAAAAGATCACTAGTACCTAGTAGATGGTTCCAGCTGTCTACAACAACATATTATACAAATAGTAGACAGTATGAACTGACAATTTTAACATTGAATCAATTATTTGGACATAGTGTGTATTGGTTCTCTCAAGGCTTATTCTTCCTGCACCCTCTTTTTACGATTACGTCTTGCTGCTAACTTCTCTTGTAAACCCTGGTCAAGTCTTTGTTTATTCATTTCCTGAACTTTTGTAAACTCTGACTTTTCTTTTGTATATTGATCTTTGAGCTTGTTGATATTTCCAAACAACATTTCTTCCGATGGTGGTGGTGCCAGGTCCTTCAGTGGCATTGGCGTTGGGGGCGGCATGTCTTTAGACTAATATAGAAATAGACAAGTAAAAAGTCATTAATTTCACATAGTCCATATATATACTGTGAACCAACTAATTTTCACGACTTTAGAAAAATAACACAAATATAAATCGTTGCAAATATGTTGAACTTCAATCTTCTCTTATATCAATAAATCAATGAAATTAAAAGTTCGCAAAAAACAAATCACTGTGAAGTCGAATAGAAAGGGCCAAACGTGAAATAAAGAATCTACGTAAATAAGTTGGTTTACAGTACTAGTATATTGGGGATTCATTATTATTACAATTTGTTCACATGGAGTAAATGGAAAATATATATATATATATATATATAGAAGATAGTTCATTGATTTGGGAAATCAGAGTCATTTGAAATGTTTGGCAGCAGTAATAGACTTTCACTAAAAATGGATGTACATGATATTAAATGATATAGCTCTGAATTAACCAGTGATCTTTCTTCTCCCCATAAACCTAACAGGGTTTGATCTAGTGTATTTCTGAAGCAGAGGTATTATTGTTAGAGAAAAGGAAGAAATCTACCTTATTTTTGCCAATTTTTTTTCCTGATTTTTATATAAGTTTGTGAAGGGATGCATATATCCCTGCCCCAGACTTCCCCACACCCCCCTAATTTTTCAAGATTTTCACTGCTAAAATATTAACTATAAGACATACTGATCCTTCTGATCCTGGAACATCATCAGCATCAGTCAAACCAACCAGTTCTTGTTCTACCTGTGAGTCATTTACTTCTTCCTGGCCTGAAATTAAAAGGGGAGATAATTCCAAAAATATCACAAGGGAGACAACTAATAGCTCAACTTTACAAAGTGAAAATCAGTGATTTAATATACAAAATGATATACATGTACATATTTTCTAAAACAAGTAATTTAATAGATTTAAAGTAAAAGTAGTTTTTAATATTGTCAAATGAACTAGTCAGATTACCATGTGAAAGAACCTTTTTCTTGAATTTTAAGTAAGTTTTCATTCATAACATAACAAAAGTATCATATGGTAACTTAATACAGAATTTGTGAAATCTGAAAACAAAAAGTGAGATATATTATCTTATTTCCCATCATCCAGATTACATTTACAGTACTAATTTACACTACATCTGAGCTCACATGGATTTTTCTTTTTCTACCTGCCCACCATGGGGAGACAACTGTAGGGAGCCTACTCATGTCCACTCAAATTTAACATAAAATTTTGTAAAATCATTAAATACATGAGCATTTCTTATTTTCCTAAATTATTGTATAATCTATTCTTATGGTTAACAAAACAAGAATTGTCATGTGCACTCAAAGGTGGGCAATGGGGACATCTAAAAAGTTTGGCACGGGTCCCACCATGGACGAGTGGGGCAAAATCCATGCGAGTTGTAGTGATTGAGAATGAGAGAATGCATAAATGTTAGTAAATAGAGAACACACCATCTTAGTTATATCTGCAGGGTCAAAGTATAAATTCACAGAATATAAAGCTTACATGTGTTACTGAGAACATATGGACAATCAAATGGAAAGATAACCATTTTCCATGAACTGAAAATTTTGAAACTTTAACCTACAAATCAATTGTTGTGCTGAATAATAACCTTTTGCTCAAACATTTCAAACATGGCAGGAAAACCATATTTCTCCTATAAATTTTGACATGACAGAGAAAAACATTAATTTAGGTATTAACAGTTTGAACATTTTTGTCTTATCTGATTGGGTGAATGGAACACCACCTTATTGTCATTGGCAGTATGTTTATATGTATGTGTTGTATATTCCTCCTTTTATTCGGGACGACATCAAAAGATCAATGTAGGATAAAAAACTTAAATCAAATAGTCTGGGGGTGGGGGGTTAAAATTGTTGCAAGTTTTGGTTATCCAAAATCGATTTTACATATATCCATATTGGTCAATCAATTTTTCCCAAATTAAGTTAAGAGGGGGGTGGGGAAGTCAGTGAAAAAACTATGTTAATTAAGTTTTTTATCCTACATTGAACTTTTGATGTCGTCCCTTAGGAGCACAGTAATTAAGTACGGTTTGAAGAAGTTATAATTTAACACATTTTATTGCACCTCAAGAAAATTAGTGATGTTATGATTGGTTTAACGCTGTCATGTGGTAACCCCTTATGGATCCCTATGGGGTCAGTATATTTCGTAGGGAGTTCATGACATCATAAAATTGAGAATGGAAATGGGGAATGTGTCAAAGAGACAACAACCCGACCACTGAACAGACAACAGCAGAAGGCCACCAACAGGTCTTCAATGCAGCGAGAAATTCCCGCACCCGGAGGCGTCCTTCAGCTGGCCCCTAAACAAATATATATACTAGTTCAGTGATAATGAACGCCATACTAAACTCCAAATTGTACACAAGAAACTAAAATTAAAAATAATACAAGACTAACAAAGGCTAGAGGCTCCTGACTTGGGACAGGCGCAAAAATGCGGCGGGGTTAAACATGTTTATGAGATCTCAACCCTCCCCCTATACCTCTAGCCAATGTAGAAAAGTAAACGCATAACAATACGCACATTAAAATTATGTCTACTATAAATGGTGATGTCATCTATTAGTGTGATGGTATTTCTAAACAAAACTTGGCAGGAAAAGCCGTGTGTGTGATAAATTCGTTTCGGGGGTTAGTAGCAAACCATATAACTTATAGTATCAGGAGGGACATCTATGACAGACAAAATGTAATTCAAGGTTTATTAAAATGCAATTTCAGAAATAAAATGGAAGGAAATAATCACTAATAAAAGTCTATTATAAGTATATGTATCTGCTTTAGCCATGTCTGATAAGGTGAAGTTTCCCAAAATCAGAATTCTGTTGGAAGTAATGGTATTTATGTCTGATAAGGTGAAGTTTCCCAAAACCAGAATTCTGTTGGAAGTAATGGTATTTATGTCTGATAAGGTGAAGTTTCCCAAAACCAGAATTCTGTTGGAAGTAATGGTATTTATGTCTGATAAGGTGAAGTTTCCCAAAACCAGAATTCTGTTGGAAGTAATGGTATTTATGTCTGTTAAGGTGAAGTTTCCCAAAACCAGAATTCTGTTGGAAGTAATGGTATTTATGTCTGATAAGGTGAAGTTTCCCAAAAACAGAATTCTGTTGAAAGTAATGGTATTTATGTCTGATAAGGTGAAGCTTCCCAAAAACAGAATTCTGTTGGAAGTAATGGTATTTATGTCTGATAAGGTGAAGTTTCCCAAAAACAGAATTCTGTTGAAAGTAATGGTATTTATGTCTGATAAGGTGAAGCTTCCCAAAACCAGAATTCTGTTGAAAGTAATGGTATTTATGTCTGATAAGGTGAAGCTTCCCAAAAACAGAATTCTGTTGAAAGTAATGGTATTTATGTCTGATAAGGTGAAGCTTCCCAAAAACAGAATTCTGTTGAAAGTAATGGTATTTATGTCTGATAAGGTGAAGCTTCCCAAAACCAGAATTCTGTTGAAAGTAATGGTATTTATGTCTGATAAGGTGAAGTTCCCCGAAACCAGAATTCTGTTGAAAGTAATGGTATTTATGTCTGATAACGTGAAGTTTCCCAAAACCAGAATTCTGTTGAAAGTAATGGTATTTATGTCTGATAACGTGAAGTTTCCCAAAACCAGAATTCTGTTGGAAGTAATGGTATTTATGTCTGATAAGGTGAAGCTTCCCAAAACCAGAATTCTGTTGAAAGTAATGGTATTTATGTCTGATAAGGTGAAGCTTCCCAAAAACAGAATTCTGTTGAAAGTAATGGTATTTATGTCTGATAAGGTGAAGCTTCCCAAAAACAGAATTCTGTTGAAAGTAATGGTATTTATGTCTGATAAGGTGAAGCTTCCCAAAACCAGAATTCTGTTGAAAGTAATGGTATTTATGTCTGATAAGGTGAAGTTCCCCGAAACCAGAATTCTGTTGAAAGTAATGGTATTTATGTCTGATAACGTGAAGTTTCCCAAAACCAGAATTCTGTTGAAAGTAATGGTATTTATGTCTGATAACGTGAAGTTTCCCAAAACCAGAATTCTGTTGGAAGTAATGGTATTTATGTCTGATAAGGTGAAGCTTCCCAAAACCAGAATTCTGTTGAAAGTAATGGTATTTATGTCTGATAAGGTGAAGCTTCCCAAAAACAGAATTCTGTTGAAAGTAATGGTATTTATGTCTGATAAGGTGAAGCTTCCCAAAAACAGAATTCTGTTGAAAGTAATGGTATTTATGTCTGATAAGGTGAAGCTTCCCAAAACCAGAATTCTGTTGAAAGTAATGGTATTTATGTCTGATAAGGTGAAGTTCCCCGAAACCAGAATTCTGTTGAAAGTAATGGTATTTATGTCTGATAACGTGAAGTTTCCCAAAACCAGAATTCTGTTGAAAGTAATGGTATTTATGTCTGATAACGTGAAGTTTCCCAAAACCAGAATTCTGTTGGAAGTAATGGTATTTATGTCTGATAAGGTGAAGCTTCCCAAAACCAGAATTCTGTTGAAAGTAATGGTATTTATGTCTGATAAGGTGAAGCTTCCCAAAAACAGAATTCTGTTGAAAGTAATGGTATTTATGTCTGATAAGGTGAAGCTTCCCAAAAACAGAATTCTGTTGAAAGTAATGGTATTTATGTCTGATAAGGTGAAGCTTCCCAAAACCAGAATTCTGTTGAAAGTAATGGTATTTATGTCTGATAAGGTGAAGTTCCCCGAAACCAGAATTCTGTTGAAAGTAATGGTATTTATGTCTGATAACGTGAAGTTTCCCAAAACCAGAATTCTGTTGAAAGTAATGGTATTTATGTCTGATAACGTGAAGTTTCCCAAAACCAGAATTCTCTTGGGAAGTAATGGTATTTATTATCAATACAAATATAATCAGTTTGGTTAAAAATGCCCATAAATACAGAAGTGTTTATTCTTTCCCCTTGTTCATCTTGCTGAAGTTAAAAGAGTTCACTCCATAAATGTGACAATGGCATGAAAATATGATCATATTTTAAACAAAAAGTCATATAATCATACATAAGTGCAACCTTAAACCCACAAGCTTTCATAACCTTTGACGTTAAGCAATCTAATAAAACAGGCAACCACTTCACCATTATTTTTGTTGTATGGAAGAATAGGTTTGGCAAAAACTGAGAAAACATGGATAAATAAGAACTATGATAAGAGCTGCATTCATTTAATTAATTTTCAGTAAAACATTGTGAGTTATACATGTACCTTGTTCATTCTTATATCAAAAAAAAGATAAATATTTCAACTTTTTCTTTAATTTGAGAGACCTACTCATTATACAGTAGCTGAGTAATGATAGCAAACTGGGTTTTTATTACATTTATTATTGTTATGAAGGGCCATAACTCCCTAATTATTATAAGCAACAGTGAATTTGTCAATACCAAACTTGACCTCCATTTTCCATCAGTGACAACATATTAAATTTGAAAGGCATTGGTTGAATTGTTTTCAACTTCTTGCATGGAAATGAATTAAAATGCCATTTTTCAATTAATCAAGGACCATAACTACATATTACAAAATTTAAAAAGCATTTAATTTGATTGAATCATTTCATCAGTTAACACCTAGAAACAGCTGTTGACTTGCCCACCCACTGTCAAGCCCCAAACCAAAAACTCAAATTCCATTGGAAATCCTGGTTAAAAAAGTAACACCCCCATCCTTCAAAAAAAAAATGAAAAAAAATTGAGAGAAAATGCTGTTGAAAATTGTCAAATTAAAACACAAGAATGATTATAATGCAGCTCATATCCAGGAAGTTTAATCTGTTTTCTCTATGACAATAAAAAGACATACCTTTAAGCTGTGATAAAACTGTAGAAAATATTATGAATTTAATGATATCAGTTAGTACATGTTGTAAAGAAACTAGTCAGACTTTTACTGTCATCAGATTTTACAATAATATGCTTACTACTGTGTAGAGTATATACCTTGTACAGCCAGCAAACAGAATAAAAAAAGATGAGATAGGCTCAAACATCACATATAGTTTTGCATACACAGTGTTCTAGCTAAGATTTAAAGGGAAGAGGGGTACAGTATTATGACGAAGGGCTCATTAGTGCCAGGTCTTGTTTGAAAAGGACAACTTGATGTGTATCCAAAAATACCCTAATTCAAACAACAACAAAAAAAACCCATAAAATGCACTCAATTATATACATGTAAATTATATTTATCTAAAAACTTTTATGATATTTTTAAGTCGTAAAATGTTTTTTCTTAGTAAAAATGATTTATTTGCATTGGAAAGTATTAATTTTACTAACAGAAAAATGAATAGGTCAGAACTACAGGGGCAGAGGGGTGCCTAGAAAGGGTAAAGGGGTACACAGAAAAGACAGAGAGGAGCTGCATCCCTATATTTTGGGCTAGCAAGGCCACTGATACATTATATGTATAATATATAGTTTGCTTTCATGATGAATAAATATAATTTATATGATCATCCACGTAGCGGAAAGGATATAGAGAGGAGTTTTTTAATTTTTTTGGATAGAGTTATTTGTCTGGAATAAAATTGACATAAATAAAACTGGTATTAAAAAATTAAACATTTGATATTTTTGAAAGTAAAAGGAGAAGGTATGATTTTCATCTGATGTGTAAAAAGGTGATTAGAAATGGTAGCATGCAACGTTTTGTTTTCAGTGAATTTTCAGGGCCTTCTACTTCTATAAACTAAAATCTTCTGATTGAAGACTTTACAAAAACAGTGTGGGAATGTCATAAATAAGATAAAAAGGAATGAAACTGGTTGCTAAGGTTTAATAACTCTATATCCCTTCCTACTATATTTTGATCATGTTTAATTTCTAATACACTAGTTATCTCCCCTTTGTATGATTTATATTTACCACACTCCTGTTGTCTTTGTAAACCTTAGGACACATCAGAGTATAAAAAATTATCAATCTGCTTAGACACAGTGTAAAGAACCATATAGATATATCTTTTACGGTCCACAAACAATTTCTATATCTAATCTGCCGACATTTTTTTAATACCCTAAGCTGTTCTTTAAATTAAACTAACTTACATACATGTAACTTAAATTTTAAAACAAAAAGTTAAAAATTTCAAACTCGTTTTATTGAGAGCAAACTTTTACAGGCAAACATTTTTCAAGACTAGCAAAACTGCTGAATAATATATGTAAATTTTACCAAGCATAAGCACTGCATTCTAGCATTGATTCATTTTTTGTAGTTTTACCTGCTTTTAACAGAAAAAAAACCAAAAAACTATTGAACATTTTTTGCTACTTTAAACAAATTTCACTCTAAGGTAATATTAACAAGAATCTGTGTCACTTGAATGTATGCCCTGCTAACACTATCACAATTTCATATTTAGTGAACTACAAAATATGGGTCAAAACACTAATTTGGCATACATTTTACAAAGTTCAAACCATAATGAAAATGTTTGTGTACTACTTTCAATTTGATGTTACAACAACTTCACTGTTAACTTCAGAATTCTTAAACTCAAATTTAATCTGATGCAGGAAAAACAGACTAAAAGCCAAAAGCACAGACCTCAAATCTAAATGCCCTCCTATTAATTGTATATAGGGCATTCGGATTCTCCTTCAGCTTACATTATAGACTACAGAAGGTATCAGCTTTTTTATGTTAATATTAATAAAATCTCTTAACACACATTATTACGCAAGCTCACAATAATCAACCTTTCTTTGTGTTTTCTCACCTTTTTGACCTAAAGCTAAATTAACAAACTGTAAGTGAGAACTACACAAACATTACAATACGATTAAAATACACATATATTTTACTAAGATGTGGCCTATTCAATTTAAGCATAACTCTTACTTTAAGAAAGGGGACAATTCAAATAAATCCTGATCAAGCACATTCATGTAGATATCTGTTATAAACATTTCATTGATATCATATACCGACATTTAAAACAAAACAAGTCACTGTTGGAAAAAATAAAAAAAATAAGTTTAGCAACCAAAGTTCATAGATCATGTAGATAATTTGGTATTTTTTTTTAATTAGTCACTTTCATGACATTTATATTAGGGCTATTCCATTAAAATGTATGTGGGAGGGTTGGAAGGGAAGTTTAATTATTGAATGTAGGTGATGGGTCTTTTTTCAGTATGCATCTATTACCATTATGCAAAATTATCTAAAAAATGGTTCTTGGTTGTAGGGATATTTTGAAAGTCCCTTCCTACCCTCCCACATACATTTTAATGGAATAGCCCTCAACAACTAACATGTTCTGTAAATGACTTACTAGCATCAAGATTACAGGTTCCTCCGTCTTTCTCTACCGATTCCTTCATCAGCCTCAATCTCTCAATCCTTAATTGTTTAGCACATTCTCTTTCCTCATCTGAGGCTGATTTGAAATCCTTTTCAATTACAGATGTTAGAACCTAAATAAAGAACAATATAGCTATAAGAAAATACTCACTGATCTTGTTTTTGATTTTTTGTCAGATATTCTGAATCCTCTGGTTTTATCCATGTAGTGCCATTAAAAAATTTGAAGTTGAGTTGAGCACAAACTAGATCAAACCAAAACTTTGTACTACCTTAAACCTAAATTTAACCTGATACAGTACAGACACACGTACAAAAAACATAATGCTCCTCTACAAACATAGGTGGGCCATATAAATAGGAAAATAATTCATTTAACTATTAAACTTGCTTTAACGTTATTGAATTGAATTTCTATTAAAATAAGTAATCATTTGTATAGAATGCACGCAAGTTTTCTGTTAATATCTTCTACATATGGTGGTACTTTTGACACTTGTTCCATGGTAAGATTGAAAACTTTTCTATTGTTCATAATCAGAGTTCAAACTCATTTTTACAAAAAAAAATAAATCAAAGAATTATCAAGCACCTTCAAGACAGGAGGATTTTGGAAAGGAACATTCTTGCCTGGTAAGAACTAAAATAAAAATCATTTATTTTAAAATAAATAAGCTGGCTTAGTAACAGGTGAAAATGAAAATGAGTCAGAAAATATCCTCCCCACCCAGAAAAATAAAAAAAGTCCCCTTTACACTATCAAACAACTGTAGAAGGGTAAAGATCCTCTTGTGTATTTTATCCATGTAGTGCCATGGTGATTCCCAAACAGCATGTTTATAGACTTACACTATCAAACCATTGAAGTAAGGCATACGACCTCTTGTGAGTGACACCGTAACAGTTCAGGGCGTGTTTATAGACTTACACTATCAAACCATTGAAGTAAGGCATACGATCTCTTGTGTGTGACACCGTAACAGTTCAGTGCATGTTTATAGACTTACACTATCAAATCATTGAAGTAAGGCATACGACCTCTTGTGAGTGACACCGTAACAGTTCAGTGCATGTTTATAGACTTACACTATCAAACCATTGAAGAAAGTCATACGACCTCTTGTGAGTGACACCGTAACAGTTCAGTGCATGTTTATAGACTTACACTATCAAACCATTGAAGTAAGGCATACGACCTCTTGTGAGTGACACATTAACAGTTCAGGGCATGTTTATTGACTTACACTATCAAACCATTGAAGTAAGGCATACGACCTCTTGTGAGTGACACCGTAAAAGTTCAGGACATGTTTATAGACTTACACTATCAAACCATTGAAGTAAGGCATACGACCTCTTGTGAGTGACACCGTAACAGTTCAGGGCATGTTTATGTCTGTCGGTTGTCATCATATCTATGTACACATTAGCCGTAGCTTTTTGTAGTGTCTTGATCTCATCCTCCTTACAATAGGGGAACTGTATGTTACTCAGGTATTTCTGTGTGTTCTGTAAGTTCTGGACTGCTGCTGACAAGTTGTTTCTGGTTTCTGTTGCCATGGTATACATTGTTTTTGTATCTCTGAAAACACAAATATGGAGATGCTTGGCATACGGTCATAAAACATTACTCTGCACACGGATTACAAAATTTGTGCTTGAAACACCACATCCAGTATTTTAAGTGATTGAATTCTGAGTCTGATTACAATAATTGTACTCGAAATTTTTATGACAGCAAGGCTAAACATAACACAATAATATTTTTAGTTTTTGGAATCTCATAAAAGAATCTTCAAAATTGAAAGGAGCTTTAATCCTTGTGTTAAATATTGAGGAGAATTGGTTAAAGAAAGGTATACCTTAATGAGCGATATCTTAAAAAATTGATGAAATTTTTCATTGAATCTGGCAGTATAAATGCTTCATATATCATTTTTGATATTTATATGCAGTTTAACATGTTCCCAAAGAACACATTATTTTATCAAAACCCAAAATATCACCCAATAAGTAAACATTGCATGAAAGCAAATTTGAGTTCTAGACAAAGTGTTTACACACAGACAGAAAGATGGAAGTACTGACAGACAGACAGACAGACAATCAATATTATACCATTTTACGTCCCATTCAAGAAGGGGGAATAAAAAAGTTTAAACAAAGGCTTGAGGTTCCAGTGTCCATGTTTTATGATACACAGTATCATCAGACAATAAACATTATAAATATTAATGGTGACTTTTTTGGGAAACATTTTAACAATGTCTGATTCAAAATGGCCATACTGTTTCATAGCAAAGAATGAAATTTAATCAAAGTGCTTGTGAGCACTGAAGGGTAAAGATTGCTTTCATTTTTCAATTGTGTGAATTTAAAATAAAACATTGAATTGTATTTAACTAGGCAAATTATAAATTTGAGTTAGAGTTATCTAACTTAGTTTATGATTGTACATTTGTAGTTAAACCTATTTTTATAACAGATTTATATGCCACGCATTACTGATGCTATTTAAAATATTTTTTTTTTCAAAGGTATGGTAATCATATTTTAACTTAAATATCTAAGTACATTAGAAAATGAAAGGATATGGAGTAAATGTACATGGGACAAAATCACACACAATACATAGAAAACACAGAAAATTATCAATGAACAGGGCTTTTATTCCTGTTCCATCTTGACAGTTGATGTAGGGTCTTCAACAATGAACGAATCATTCATACCCTACAACAAGGTCAAGACGGCCCCTAGCTTCGACTTAAGCGGTATTATTGATAAAAATAAACCACAGTTCACCTTCTTGCTCCCCACCCGCCTGGGAGTGCCAACTTGTGCGATGCTTGTGTATGACGGTTCTCCAGTCGAAAGCACCAGGGATACAAGAAAAGTGCAGTAATTTTGAAAGACATCGATCACCGCTAAAATATGCCTTGAAGTTACACATGTCGGGAGCGGTCAATGAATTACATAATTTATAATTACGGGCAAGGTTTTTCAACATATATTTGTCATACATTACCCAACAGAAGACCAATAATTTTGAAATAACGAATGATAGACAATACATATAAAACTAAAAAAAAACAAATGATAAACAGCACGGGGCACATCGAAATATATGCAAGAAAACCTAGCAGTTTAAAATAGTTTGAATGGGCAATATACAAAACAGATGACCAGACCAGTATTTTGAAGAAATTCAACCAAACATGAAATTTTGTATACCATATCAAGAAATTGCATGACATTGACTGGATAGGAACTAAAGAATGATCACTTCACTACACTATTTTGTTTGAACTATCAAAGGTGGTGACAAACCTTGCAACATATAAATATCAAGTCATTACCATAAGGAATTTGATTCCATTTCATGCAATCTTTACCCCAAAAAGGCTTCACAAGATGAATACTTACGATTTGTCTAGTTTACCCAACTCATCCCACTTTTTGACAGCATATGCTAATTGATTGACAGCATGTTGTAAAAGGACTTTACCATTGGTCCATTTATATTTGGCCACTCCCACTCTATTTCTCTTTTCTATTAGCATGTCCATTTTACTTTCCAGTTCATTTTCTTTTTGACTTCCATAATCACCTTTGAAGATGCTGGCTGAAATTCAGAGTGACAACCTAAATTACAGTTACTGTAAAACAATTTTAGGGAGCCACTTATTTTCAAGATTTGTGTGAGTAAAAAATTAATATAAATATTCACAAATATATGTTAAACCTGGATTTTCCTTTACATAATAACATCAAGAAAATAAGTAAATGGCAAACATAAATAAAAAATTCGTAAGGGTTCCGCGGAACCCAGTGTCTCGCCTACTTTTTCTGTTAATCGCAGGCTCAACAAAAATGAGGAAGTAAATCAATAAAAATATTCCTCTTGATACTATCTTTTGATTGTAAGAAGCTTCTGTCCAAGTTTGGTAAAAATCCAGGATAGTTTATGAATCTAATTAATGTTTAAAATCTTTAACTGCAGACTGACTGTAATGTTAACTGGAAGAAAACAAAATTTCCTTCTAGATACTAGCATTTGATTATAAACAAGCTTCTGTCCAAGTTTGGTACAAATCCAAAATAGTACAAGAAAGTTATTAAAATTTTAAAAACTTTAACCACAGAGTGAATGTGTTGTTTCCTGGCAGAAAATCTAAGTCCATTTAAAAGTAAAATACGGAAAAAATGGATCTATTTTTTTACAAAATTTCCTTCTAGATACTAGCTTTTGATCATAAACAAGCTTCTGTCCAAGATTGGTACAAATCCAAAATAGTATAAGAAAGTTATTAAAATTTTAAAAACTTTAACCACAGAGTGAATGTGTTGTTTCCTGACAGAAAATCTAAGTCCATTTAAAAGTAAAATAAGGAAAAATGGATTTTTTTTTTACAAAGTTTACTTCTGGATACTATCTTATGATCATAAACAAGCTTCTGTCCAAGTTTGGTAGAAACCCAGGATAGTTTAAGAAAGCTATTAAAATTTTAAAAACTTTAACCACAGAGTGAATGTAATGTTTCCCGGCAGAAAAACTAAGTCCATTTATAAGTAAAATACGGAAAAAATGGAATTTTATTTTTACAAAATTTACTTCTGAATACTATCTTATGATCATAAACAAGCTTCTCTCCAAGTTTGGTAGAAATTCAGGATAGTTTAAGAAAGTTATTAAAATTTCAAAAACTTTAACCACAGAGTGAATATTTGTGGACGCCGCCGACGGAATGTAGGATCGCTATGTCTCGCTTTTTCGACTAAAGTCGAAGGCTCGACAAAAATGGCTATATCAATTCCTTATGAAAAGAATACTTCAGACCTATCATAGGAAAAAAACATTATAAAACTTACAATAGGATTTTGTAGATAGTTTACGATATAACTTAACTTTTTGGACCAGTATTTCATGCTACCAGGTCCAATATTTTGACCGATTCTCATGATTACAGTTCCAACATTTCGAACAATTATCTCAGGGTCCCAGGTCCAACCCTTTGGACCAGCATCTCATGCTTCCAGGTTCAACTTTTTGACCAATTATTTCAGGGTCCCAGGTCCAACAATTTGGACGACTATTTCATGTTTCTTGGTCCAACTTTTTAAACTATTAAGAACTGTTTAAGGTCATTGCCCTGACAATATTAATTATTTGTTTTTTGTCATGTGTATTTGTTTTCTCATCTTTTAAATCCACCACTCATAGCTACACATTAGTTCTTGTTGTTCACTGATGAGTTGGTCCAATTGTGTTATACAATATCTTCCCACACATATGTAAACATCAATAAGCTTCTTCCAACACATATGTAAACATCAATAAGCTTCTTCCCACATATATGTAAACATCAATAAGCTAACAGCAGCAAAATCAAACCTTAAAGATATCTAAAAAACTTGTCTAGATTTGTCATCTCCCGAATCTCCCCCTCATATGTACTGTGGATTTATAATTATTTGTGGGGTTCAAATTTTGTGTATGTTGTGGGCATAAGTAAACCACTAATTTAAAGGTTCAATAAAGTATGAGTTTCTATATGCATGCATTTCATACAGCCAATCGTTGAAATCAAATTTCCATAAAAATAATTTTTCCTCTATCAACGAAAATTGATGCCCTTGAAAATTATAAATCATTTGACTGTAAATTCAGAAATTTTGTGAGGTTTTAAAAATACGAATAATGTGACTTGGTGAGTTTGACTGTATTGTAATAATAATAATTTGCATTCTGATATCTGATACTGAATGAAGTTTTCCAAAATTGCAATAAATAATCTTGCATTTTTGTCCATTTAAAAACAACGCAATGATAAATGCATGCAATAATTTCTGAATTTACAATAATTCCTCTCGTTCAGCATGTTCAGTACAAATGGAATGTCCAGTTTTGTCATCCTATAAAATCTATCATTGATACCTACACAACAATACCTCTTGTTGAGGGACAAGTTTGTTTAGTTTTATCAACCCTATTAAATATATCCTTCTTACATACACAATAATTCCTCTTGTTCAGTGACAAGTTTGTCTAGTTTGGTCACCCCCCTTTTATATCTATCCCTCATACATACACAATAATTCCTCTTGTTCAGTGACAAGTTTGTCCAGTTTTCTAACCCCTTTTAAATCTATCATTCATACATACACAATAATTCCTCTTGTTCAGTGACAAGTTTGCATGGTTTGGTCACCCCCTTTTATATCTATCCCTCATACATACACAATAATTCCTCTTGATCAGTGAAAATTTGACTAGTTTTGTCACCCCCCTTTTATATCTATCCCTCATACATACACAATAATTCCTCTTGTTCAGTGACAAGTTTGTCCAGTTTTCTAACCCCTTTTAAATCTATCATTCATACATACACAATAATTCCTCTTGTTCAGTGACAAGTTTGCATGGTTTGGTCACCCCCTATTAAACCTTTCCCTCATACATACACAATAATTCCTCTTGTTCAGTGACAAGTTTGTCCAGTTTTCTAACCCCTTTTAAATCTATCATTCATACATACACAATAATTCCTCTTGTTCAGTGACAAGTTTGCATGGTTTGGTCACCCCCTATTTAATCTTTCCCTCATACATACATAATAATTCCTCTTGTTCAGTGACAAGTTTGTCTAGTTTTGTCACCTCTGGTTGAAGATTCTTGATTTCTGCCTGGATATCTTGGATTTGTTTTGTGATTCCTTCTAAATCTTTCTTGGCCATTTCTTCTTTGTTTAAAGCTTCTAAGTACTCAGCCTGTTAATGATAAGTGAAAACATTTTTCAGCCTGGACTCATACTGCCTCATGTAGGGAGGGTGCCATGCTCTGTGAATGGCAAATACACCTTGCAACAGTTCTCTGAGAGTCTGTAAATGGCCTGTTGTAGCAAGGCAAAATTTTGTTTTTTATGATTTATACTAATTTTTGTTGATGTCCTGGGTAATTTTTTCGGTGATCCACAAATATAAAAGTACAACGAATTGCAAACTTCAAATAAGCTTGTCAGCAGAATGTGTAAAAACAAGGAAATGCAATTTTTTCTCAATCCACAAAGATATGTACTGTAAATTTAGAAATTATTGTTGGTTTTTATTAATGCGTATAATGAGACGGAGAGACTTTCGATCGCAATAATAAAAACTCACATTCTTATATAGATCTGATACATATATCTGTAAGCAGATTTTTCTGATATCGCAAAGATTTATCTCGAATTTTTGTCCTTTCTTCCAAAATCACATTAATAAACGCACATAATAATTTCTGATTTCACATTAACAATGAAAATAAATGAATCAATAGTATCCAATGAATCCCATTTTCCCAGTGGCAGTTGAAAGTTTGCATCCGTTATCTCTGTTGAACAAGGTAAAAACCCAAGATATTGGATTTATTGTTAATTAGCACTGAATATGCATGAAATATTTGCCACTGGCATTTAAGCAAGCAACAATCCTTCTAATCAAGTTACATATAAGTTTATGAATGTTAACAGTATAATATACATGAATATAATCTACCTATGAACATTGATGAATATTATTATAATTTTGCTGTTACAATATAAATATAACAATATAATTTGTTGACATGGTTGATGAGGATCTGTGTTGGGATCTTCATTTCTCGATTTTTTTCCCCATTTTTCACTAATCTTTATTATTCTCTATTTTGTAAACACTATTCATACCTTTGTTTATGACTGATTTTTGACAGTGTTTATTTTATTTACAACTTCACCAAGTAATTTTGATTTATATAGATTTAGCCACTTGTCTGTTGTTGAGGTCCATTTACTCTTTTTATCATCCTTATTTTTGTGTCACTGGGTAAAAACTGGCCGCCAAAACATAAGTCAATTTAGTGGTGAAAGTGGTGTTTGACATCAACAATCAATCATCGTCAATGATGATTAGAATTCAATTTAAAAATCATACTTTGGAAATAAAATTATATCTCTAACATGATTATCAAGTGAACAAAAAAATAACAACAAATTGTATTGGGTTAATCATGATTACTCTTTTACCATTCAGAAACATCAGAATCATCCTGTTTGTTAGGAAACCCCAGGAATTATCCTGTTTGTTAGGAAACCCCAGGAATTATCCTGTTTGTTAGGAAACCCCTGGGAAATTATCCTGTTTGTTAGGAAACCCCATAAATTATCCTGTTTGTTAGGAAACCCCAGGAATTATCCTGTTTGTTAGGAAACCCCAGGAATTATCCTGTTTGTTAGAAAACCCCAGAAATTATCCTGTTTGTTAGGAAACCCCAGGAATTTTCCTGTTTGTAAGGAAACCCCCGGAATTATCCTGTTTGTTAGGAAACCCCAGGGAAATTATCCTGTTTGTTAGGAAACCCCTGGGAAATTATCCTGTTGGTTAGGAAACCCCAGAAATTATCCTGTTTGTTAGGAAACCCCAGGAATAATCCTGTTTGTTAGGAAACCCCAGGAATTATCCTGTTTGTTAGGAAACCCCAGGAATTATCCTGTTTGTTAGGAAACCCCAGGAATTATCCTGTTTGTTAGAAAACCCCAGAAATTATCCTGTTTGTTAGGAAACCCCAGGAATTTTCCTGTTTGTTAGGAAACCCCCGGAATTATCCTGTTTGTTAGGAAACCCCAGGGAAATTATCCTGTTTGTTAGGAAACCCCTGGGAAATTATCCTGTTGGTTAGGAAACCCCAGAAATTATCCTGTTTGTTAGGAAACCCCAGGAATTATCCTGTTTGTTAGGAAACCCCAGGAAATATCCTGTTTGTTAGGAAACCCCAGGGAAATTATCCTGTTTGTTAGGAAACCACAGAAATTATCCTGTTTGTTAGGAAACTCCAGGAATTTATCTGTTGCGAAGACATAAATTTGTATAACTAATTGGAAACCCCTGAATTTCTCCTAATCATTAGACCATTGCTATTTCATTTAAAACCTAATCCTTCACTCAGTCTGTATCACATTTATAAATTTGTTCATTGTCTTGAAAACAAAGGATAATAATCACCAGGATTGAACTTGTTCTTGAGACATTTCTTTATCTCCTTGGAAACCACAAGAATTTAACAGATCTTTATACATTTGTTTTGGAAACATAGAACATTTTAGACATAGAAACCCCCCTCCACCAGCAGACATTGTTCCCTCCCGATTGAAATCCAATGAATTTACCTGTTCTTTGGACATTTGTTGATCAAACTTAGCTTTGCCAATAGCTGCCTGTATTTGCCCACCTTTACCAGATAAATCATCCACATCAGCCTTCTCTTTTTTCCTGAAATTCAAATTATTCAGAATTTTTTTATCATTTGTTAAATCTTTCTACATGTTTTATATGAAACAAATCTAATAGGTTTGCGAGTTTATATGGAAGAAAGATGGTAAGTATGGACTGAAAAATGAGGGTATTCTTTTATAGGGATTAACATTTTGCTTTGAAACAGGCCACCTACAACAGAATTAAAACAGGTAATCAAAATCACATTTTTAATTACCCCAGGTCTGCCGACAAGTCCCTAAAAGAGTTATTGCTACTGCTAGGGTTCGTTTATGTAAGAAGGCCATGGCACTCTTCCTCATATTTATTATTCCCGTTCAAACTGTCAGAATTAGATTGTTTATTCACACATCCCACAAAGCCAAAAAGAAGTCCCCCAAGTTTTACAGTCAGACAAGTCCAGCAGTCACAATACTGTGGTCATGGATTGATAAAATGAAGAAGATAATGATCCATTTCTATGACGATTGCTATATAAACATTGGATTTTAAATGATTTAATCATGAATTTTTAAATGACTCATATTCAATAGTATTGTTGAAATAATGGTAACTTTTGTTCTCCCAGATCCATTTAGGCTACTTAAATCAACTTGATAATTGGATTATGTTGTTTGTCTTTAACTTGATAATTGGATTGTGTTGTCTGTCTTTAACTTGATAATTGGATTGTGTTGTCTGTCTTTAAATTGATAATTGGATTGTGTTGTCTGTCTTTAACTTGATAATTGGATTGTGTTGTCTGTCTTTAACTTGATAATTGGATTGTGTTGTCTGTCTTTAACTTAATAATTAGATTGTGTTGTCTTTAACTTGATAATTAGATTGTGTTGTCTTTAACTTGATAATTAGAATGTGTTGTCTGTCTTTAACTTATTGTTTTGAACCGACCCCTTGTTATATTTTCAATTTTTTTAAGTTGAAACTTCTTTCTAATGTTCAGTTACAATTCCACCAAATTGTAATCTCATAAAATATCACTTTAACTGAATCTATCATTCAAACAAACGCTACAATTTTATCTTGTGGCAAAAATTTCTATTTTCAGTATCAATTCAAACCAGCATAAACTTTAGCAATGAATTTGCTTTTCAATTCTAAATCAATGCGCTAATCAACAAGATATAAAATGGTTAATCTCAAATATGCAATGAACATTTTCATTTGCCTTTTTTCTTACACATAAACACAATTGTGATAAAAATACATATATATCCTTTAACTAAGCATTCTTAAATATGTACAGAATAATTCATACTGATCATTTATAAGTTTGTTTAGTGTTGTCTTTACATGATTTTGATCAACAATATCGAAATCATTTTAATGGGCTCTAGTAAATTTTTATTTCAGCTGCATAAAATTGTCATTAGTTTTTGAACTGAAAATTGAATTTCAATCAACTTGACAAATATTGATATAGAATTCCCTCAACAGAAACATTTTCCCAAGGACCTGGGATGCTGGGGTTCTCTATGTCTTTATTTTTGTAATTTTGTAGGACATTTTTCTCTTGTCTAAATATCTTATAATTAGCACCCAAAATTCTTTATTCTTAAGTTTTTGGGGCCGTTTTCTCTATTCTTATATTTTTTGGGGCCTTTTCTCTGTTCTTTATATTTTATGTCCCTTGTTCTCTGTAAACCCCATCCAGACCCTCAATGAATATCACAGAGCACTTAACAAACGTAATCAAAGTGTATTATTATACAACTAACATATAGATCCACTAATGTTGACACAAACTGTAAATTACCATTAAAATTAATAAAACATTAAAACAAATCAATACCGATTGAACTTTATCTTCATGTAACAAATTAAGAATGCATCGAATGTTATCAGTGGAGAAACAAGTCCAGTGTATTGATTTTACTTTTAGTTCATAAGTTTACTTTTAATTCATAAGTGCAATCATTAAAATAAAAACATTTAATGATTTAACAGTATAAAGTGAAATCTTTTTCAGAAAGAAAGAGACTAATCCATTCAATCAATCCATATTTTGTTACAAAATAATTACCATGTTAGACATGATGTTATAGAACAGCTTAAGTACATCAACTGAATCAATAAAAACAGAAAACACCATGTTCCTTAACAATAAAGAGGCTTGGTATTGTACCTTTTATTCCAATCTAAATTGAACTCTTCTTTTTCCAACCCCTGAACAGTTTCATCGATAGACTTTCGTTTTATCTTGACAGTCTTTGTATACATTGATAGACTTATGTTTTATCTTGACATTCTTTGTAGCCATTGATAGACTTACGTTTTATCTTGACAGTCTTTGTATACATTGATAGACTTACGTTTTATCTTGACATTCTTTGTATACATTGATAGACTTATGTTTTATCTTGACAGCCTTTGTATACATTGATAGACTTACGTTTTATCTTGACATTCTTTGTATTCATTGATAGACTTATGTTTTATCGTGACATTCTTTGTATACATTGATAGACATGTTTTATCTTGACATTCTTTGTATTCATTGATAGACTTACATTTTATCTTGACATTCTTTGTATTCATTGATAGACTTATGTTTTATCTTGACATTCTTTATATTCGTTGATAGACTTACGTTTTATCTTGACATTCTTTATATTCGTTGATAGACTTACATTTTATCTTGACATTCTTTGTATTCATTGATAGACTTATGTTTTATCTTGACATTCTTTGTATACATTGATAGACTTATGTTTTATCTTGACATTCTTTGTATACATTGATAGACTTACGTTTTATCTTGACATTCTTTGTATTAGTTGATAGGCTTACGTTTTATCTTGACATTCTTTGTATTAGTTGATAGACTTACGTTTTATCTTGACAGTCTTTGTATACATTGATAGACTTATATTTTATCTTGACATTCTTTGTATTCATTGATAGACACGTTTAATCTTGACATTCTTTGTATTCATCGATATACTTATGTTTTATCTTGACAATCTTTGTATTCATTGATAGACTTATGTTTTATCTTGACATTCTTTGTATTTATTGATAGACTTATGTTTTATCTTGACATTCTTTGTATTCATTGATAGACACGTTTAATCTTGACATTCTTTGTATTCATTGATATACTTACGTTTTATCTTGACAGTCTTTGTATTCATTGATAGACTTACATTTTATCTTGACATTCTTTGTATTCATTGATAGACTTACGTTTTATCTTGACATTCTTTGTATACATTGATAGACTTATGTTTTATCTTGACATTCTTTGTATACATTGATAGACTTACGTTTTATCTTGACATTCTTTGTATTCATTGATAGACACATTTAATCTTGACATTCTTTGTATTCATTGATATACTTACGTTTTATCTTGACAGTCTTTGTATTCATTGATAGACTTACATTTTATCTTGACATTCTTTGTATTCATTGATAGACTTATGTTTTATCTTGACATTCTTTGTATACATTGATAGACTTATGTTTTATCTTGACATTCTTTGTATACATTGATAGACTTATGTTTTATCTTGACATTCTTTGTATACATTGATAGACTTACGTTTTATCTTGACAGTCTTTGTATTCATTGATAGACTTACGTTTTATCTTGACATTCTTTGTATTCATTGATAGACTTACGTTTTATCTTGACATTCTTTGTAGTGTGTCTTGAGCTGGGATTCAGTTTCCTGTACATCTTTTAGCTGGTCTTCTTTCATCTTCAAGCTCTTTCTGACGTTTTTAATTTCCATCATATGTATCTCATTGTCAAGTCTCACATAAGTTTGGATTGTTTCCATGGTAATTTTCTTCTGTAAATAAAAAGTATCTCATGCATAAAAACTAACCAAGATACAAGGCCTACAATTTAGTATAGCAAACACATGTTTTGTTTATATGTAAAAAAATAGTTGAAAGGCCAAATAAATTACAAATTTGAAACTAAATTGCTTTGAAAACCAAAAATAGAAAAAAGATTTTGTGCCAAATCTAGCGTAGGCGATTCCTTACATGCTTCAAATAAACAATATAAAAATAAGAAGACATGGTATGATTGCCAATTAGACATAACTCTCCACCAGACACCAAATAAAGTAGAAGTTAACAATTATATGTCCTTGTACGACCTTAAAAAATTAGCAAAACCATATTATTATTATGTTTTTGAAATCTTATTGGCATTACATATATATGATTGTTATAGTGGTATAACGCTGAAATAAAGTTTGTGATTAAGGTTTCTCTAAATACTCCATTTTTTTCATTGACAAATTTTGAAGAACTACAAACATCTCCCTGATCTCTGTACTTTAAGAAATTAATCATAACTTAAAGGAAACTTTGTTATTGCAGCAGAAACATCAATTATTATTATACATGTACATGTAAGATAAGTTGACTTTCCTGCTTTAACATATATATTAGTTCATCAAAACTCTCTGTGTACTTTTCTGCATCTGTAGTTGTAGTATTCTCTTGCATCTATGTATGTTAAAAAAAAAAACCTGTTTTTTTTTCCATTACATGGACAGTGAAGATTATTATCATGGTTATACAAATGTAAATGGTTTTACTTACATCTCCCATTTTTAGTTACTTTTCTTTACTACACAAGAACACAATATTAATTTACCTAAAAAACAACAAATATAATATATAAACAAATAAAATATGATAGTCTTCTAGAATGACAAATATACTAAACTCAGTGCAAGGTATCAATATTGTACACCCTGCTAATTTTGAAAATTATTATTATACAGATAATTCAGAAATTTTTTGGTGCATTTAAGATCGCAATTGCTGAACAATTGACAGAGATGCGATTTTCATAATTACGATTTCAGAAAATGGTAAATATATATATATGGATACATTGCTTGATACATGTATGAATAACTCTTACTAAAAAATTAAAAATGTAATTTTCTTTGCAAAACCTATCCCGTTGCATTTTCGCAATAATAAAAAAGTTTACATTCAAACATTCAACTAGTTTTTGATTAATACCTTGTGTATTAATTAAGCAACAGGAGGTACAATGATGGACATTTAGGGCCATCATGGTGACCATATTTTTTATGGCCACCATTAGTAAGATAATGTAACAGGTAGTACTGTATAAATAACTCTTACTAAAAAATTAAAAATGTAATTTTCTTTGCAAAACCTATCCCGTTGCATTTTCGCAATAATAAAATAATTGCAAAAATTTCTGAACTTTTTATTATTGGAATGATAGACAAATAAAAACAACACTGACATGACTGATGTCAGATGATAATGATGATGGATTGGTGATAACTTACAATGGCAAATATTACATGCATACCAGGAAGAGAACATGCTAGTTTTGTTGTTGTTTGCTATAATCGTTATATTTGTTTTTCTTATTTGAATTGTTTCTAATTTTGTCATGTAATTGTCAGGTCCTTGAATAGCTGACTATAGGGTATGGTTTTTTTAATTGTTGAAAGCTGTACGGTGACCTATATTTGTTAACATCCATGCATGTCATTTAAAAAGAACAATAATAATAATAAATTCTTTATTTCAAGAGGGTAAAATTAGTTAGTTACAACTCAGGCCCTCGCATACAAATGATGACTGATTTGGATTCTGGTGGATAGTCTCTATGGTAATCATACCACACTGCCTTATTCTCACTAAGTTCAGAATTAGTGACCATAATTTAGAAATAGAAAAGGTTGCTATTATAAAATTCCTAGAAAGGATAGAATATTTAAACTGTGCCACTTGATTGAGGATGAAAAACACTTCCTCCTTGAATGTAAATTCAACAAAAATCAGTCAACATGGTCAACAAGCCCGAAACTATGAATGAATTAGAAAAAAAATGTGTGTGTTTTCTTCAATAATTTTGCCTTTTGACATAAAAAGAACAAAAGAAATATGTGCATATATAAAAATCTAAATACCATTTAAATATTCATTATGTTATGGTTTGTGTTAGTCCGAGATTGCTCCGACGTCCAACGGCTGTTTTGCCAGACAAGCTGGGGCCCATGTCAATCCCAGCTTGTCTGGCAAAACAACTGTTGGACGTCAGAGCAATCTCTGACTAAGTTTTTATAGTTTTACACATGTATGTTGATGAAATTGTGAAATAAATACATGAAATATCCAGTGTACATGTATGTGTTAGAAAAAAATATAGTATTATTTTATGCTTTGTCGATTTTATATACATGTATATTGATTGGGGATGAAATTGTGTCCATAAAGCATCAAAATTAAACTATTTCTTTGTAACATTATCATGCCTTCTAGTCATGATACAATTACGACACAACACAAAATACATATCAAAACAAATTTAACTCTTCGTTTTCTTCATCCAATCAACCAAGGAACAATCAGCTACAAATTGGTCACTGTGACTTTCAAATTATATACTTTTTACAGATTTATGAATTAATCAGTTAAATTCAAATATATTATACAACTTTTATCACCATTTGAGTGCATTTAAGGTGGTACCTAACACTACAGGGAGATAACTCTGTAAAAATCAGCTAAACGTTTTAATTACGTTGTATTGTTAAGGAAATATTAAGCTTCTCAATGATCAAAATATAGGTTTGTCAAACTGCTATATAACCAATGAAATTTTTCTGTTAAAGTGGTTGGTTCAAATTTTTTGAAATTTTTATATTTTTGTCGAAGGGTTAAAGTAAACATTTTGTCAACATTTTATGAAAATTAAACGAGCCAAATTAATATTAGTCAAGGTGTTGGGTACCACCTTAAATAAGTTGGTAAAAGTTTGCAATTGTAGGAATTTACCCTGGTCCCATTAGCAGTGGAACGAGTTTGCAGTGGTACATGTTTGCTATTAGAAGTACGAGTTTACATTGGTACAAGTGCAATGGTACAAGTCTTAGTACCGTCCCTAGGCTACCGGGCCTAGCTAGGGATTGGCAACCTGTCTCTATAGATATCGGTCAGCATCGTAATTAGTATGTCTTCCAGAAACTTGAGGGATCCTGACAAACTGAGATGTGCTTCTTACCGTCATTACCGAAATCCTAATGCATTTCATATCGAACTTGACTGATCGATAAACTTGAAGACTTGAAGACCCAGATATATATATCACTTTCAAAATCAAACATAAGTTTTTCCTTCTGTTGCAAAAATTAAAAGAATGAATCTTATTGTAGGAAAAGATGTCATCCTCTACCTCACACTTACCGAATAGATGTCAAGTTATGAAATAAAAAGTATAATTTCGAAATGTAAATATTATGGAAACATAGACAATATAGTCTAATTGTTTCACAGGAAGTGACGTTTCCCTTAGCAATTGTGTAAACACGGATCGGATTGACTGATTCCCTGTTTATTCCTCACCTGTGCCTGGAAATATCTTTTTGAAGGTTCCAGATGGAATGCACGTCGTTTCGTAACCTGGTCGTTTCGTACCTGGTCGATTCGTAACTACGTTGTTTTGTAACTGAAACGTTTCGTACCTTTTGTAATTACATATGGTTATAAAGTGTTAGTTTAAATTAATTAGTTTAAATGAAAAAGTTGAAGTTATTATTTAAAAATGATCCAATTGTTCATCTAATAATAACAATATTGTAATATTTTTAATTTAAAATTTTTTGAAATCTTTTTAATTATTGGCTAATTGGTTAATTTGTAATTACGCTCGGTGACAGCTTTAATGGTTTTATGACAACTAATGACAGGTAATAAAAAGTAATTACAGTAGGTGTAAAGTGATTAAGTAGATTAATGGCACACGACCTATGGCACACGACCTGAAAAAAATAATTATTTTCTCCTTTTTTTTTTTCACTTTTACATGCAATTGCATAACCCTCCTCCTTTTTCACCCGGGCTTGGGACCGGCGTTGGCGGAGTTAAAGTTTTTTTTTTTTTAAGAACACTTTATCTTACTCTATTCTTTTTCTTTCTTTCAGATACATCACTATGTTGTTCTTTGTTTGCATGCTTATACTGGCATAAAGCCTGATTTTTCATCCGAAAAACCCTCGTATTAACATGAAACAAAGTCTTAGTGGGCCGTAGTGCTCAGCAGCAGCAGTTGGTCCGTAAACAAAAGCACACCTCCTTAATAATGTACTACTGGACATCTGGTTTTGAGTGCATTTATCCCAGAATGAGAAAATAACTACACAATTAAGCAATCAGTAGTGAAATATTTTGAATAAATTTAATTTGAATTAAATTGATAAATTATTAGGCGTGGTTAAATTAAATAAATGTTAGTGACAAGTGTTCACTTAATGGTATAATAGAAGTTTTTTTTTTACTCCTTTTTCATTCATCTATAAACGCCAAATATGTCACTAACAGTAAATAAGCCCAAAGTACTTGTGATCGGTCACAGTTTCATCCGAAGACTGGAAAATTGGATGTTAAGAACGCAATCCGACTTATCAAGTTCTAAATACTTTGATAAAGACGGGGTACATCTAAATGATGATGGACAATTCAAATTCTTCTGTTCTATTCGCATGGGTGCAAAACTGTACTTGTAAAGTGTAAATTTATGTGCAATCAATTATTTAATAAATAAATATAGATATATATATACACATACATCACTAAGTCTTTTTATTACTTTTTACGTAACCTACTAATCTTATTGTTATTATATATTGATATAAGGTTACAAAACGTCTCAGGTACGAAACGACCTAGTTAAGTTACGAATCGACTAGTTACGAAACGACCTGCACCCTCCAGATTAACAGCTATTTTTTTGGAGGCTGCTGCAGCATGATTTTCTGTTTTCCCTGTAGGCCAGCATGTTATTTCATCCTAATTTTTAATAGTTAATTTTTAAATGCGCTATAGCTTAAGAAGTAGCAAATGTGGAAAAAGAAGAAAATGGAAAAAAAAATCCCATAATAATGAACATTATTTATTTCTTATTTTTAAAAGGGCTCATTTCTATAAAGCAAATACATAGTCCATACAATATCAAAACTTTTATCACATGCAATCGAACACACTTACTGATTATCACTAATAAAAAAACTATTAAGAGCAAATATAGATAAGAAATTGAATAAGACTAATACTAATTACTAGGCCAGGAGAGTATAAATACAAAAACAAATATATTTCATTCATAATTATATGGACAAAAGATGACATTTTACTGAAGACTATTTCTTCATCAGACATCTTCCAAATAAATAAATTTTGACATTTAGATTGGATACCTTGGGAAACTTTTGGAAATATTGTTCAAAGAGGGATAACTCAATTTGTTCACACTAACATTTATCTCTCTTTTTTTCCCCTGTATCATTTGAATTTTTTAAAGATCCAGAATAAATACTGCATTAAGGTCTTAATCTCCATTGGTCATGATCCAGATAAAAAGAGTTTCTAAATCCTTTTTTCTCAGGTTTGTGAACTTGTGAAATAAACTTGCTAAAAATTCTATTATCTAAATTGTTGGTAAATTATAAAGAAGGCAATTGCTAGACATGCCAGAACACAATGCAGTTAATTTTTTATTAAGTTTTGTGAACAGTGTTGACAGAGCCTTTCACATCTGGGCAGAATTTCAAGATCTTTTTTGAGATTGTATTTAGTGTCAGATTTTAAATTTCAAGTTATTTCCCTTTGACTTTTGAGTTTAAATGAACAGGTTGGGTTAGATCCTCATAAATGTGTATTATCCCCATTGATGAATATTATACCAGATAATGGGTATCAATTAACAGTGATCAAACAGGGAACTTTGGTTATCAGGATGTTTGCTGTTATTGCACAAACAGAGGAAGTTTCGTACTAACAATACAAATATTTCGGATCTAATTACTATTTCAAAAAACAACAGCAGACATTATCTGCTAACCAAGCTCTGTTCTTTAACTGTTAATAAATTACATCAAATTTTGGAGGATTGCAACACAATTCCATATTGCAGTCCCAAGTATGAAATCGTCCAAATTATAATTGCATATTGTTATTCTAAACTATTTCCCAAAATTGATTGCCCTGAAGACCACAATTTAAACAGACTTATTCAGAAGGGATATAGTTATGATACTGTTAGGTCATTAAAGATGGCATATTTTGGACTTAATATTGATTCACTCATAGGGTCTTTGCATCGTAAATAAACACATTTATTCTAAAACCAGTTGTTGGCATGATACGGGTTATGTTCTCATATATTTTATAATGGTATAATACTAAACGGGAGGGATTGTGCTTGATTTTGATATGATGAAGACATAATCTTTCAATCAGTTTAATTGAGGTCAAGAGCTGGCATTTCAGTAACTGCTAGTAGTCCTTTGTTAATTTATGTATCATTGTCATTTTGCTTAGTTTCTTCTGTGACCTATTCTGACATTGGACTCAGACTTCTTTCAAACTGAGTTTTACTGTGCGTATTGCTGTGTGTTTGTTTATTCTACATTGGCTAGAGGTATAAGGGGAGGGTTGAAATCTCAAAAAACATGTTTAACCCCACCGCATTTTTGCGCCTGTCCCAACTCAGGAGCCTCTGGCTTTTGTAAGTCTTGTATGTTTTTTTTTAATTTTAGTTCATTTATATGTTTCAGAGTTTAGTGTGACATCCATTTTCACTGAACTAGTACACATTTTTGTTTAGGGGCCAGCTGAAGCCCGCCTCCAAGTTCTGGATTTTCTCACTGTGTTGAAGACCCATTGGTGGCCTTGGGCAGTGTTCTGCTCTTTGGTCGGGTTGTTGTCTCTTTGACACATTCCTCATTTCCATTCTCAATTTTATTCAAAAGTGTTAGCTCTTTACATCTAGCTTTAATATATAATTCAGAAGGTAGAAGATCTAGATACTTTATTTACTTTGAATTTAAAAAAAATACTACAAGATTTCTATCCAAAGAATAAATTACCTTAGCTGTATTAGGCAATACCATTCAGAATTTTTGGTCCTCAATGCTCTTCAAATTTTGTACTTTATTTGGCCTTTTAAACATCGGCTTTTGATTTGAGTGTCACTTTTGTAGAAGAAACGCGCGTCTGGCATACAAACTTTAATACTGGTATCTATGGTGAGTTTATATCTTGTATACAGATCAGACAGATGTATCATACTTTCCACCATATGTCCATTGTCCTTGACATCATTTTCATCAAGGTTAAGTGACTGCTTAAAAACTGTGAAGTTTTTTTGTCAAGAGATTTTTTCAGTTATTATGATTAACAGGACAACTATATTTGGTACTGTATGAAATCTTTGCAAGCAATACATGTCTATCAGACCTTTACCTCATTTCATGGTTCATAGGTCAATGTTAAGTTTTTTGTGATTAGGTCTGATTTTTCAAATAATATAAACAGTAGGTGAATGGTATTTGGTGTAAAGAATGATTATAAGGTGTTACAGGAATTTATGCCCTTGAAAGATCGTTTTTTACCAGTTTCTGTTTAAGTAGCAACCATAATAGAGAGAAATTGTTTAGCACAGTTACATCTACAAATAAGTCAACACAGCTGAAATGATCAACCGACCTTTTTTTAGGCCTTTTTCTCTCCTGAATGAAATTTTACCCATTTTTGTATTTTTGTCACAAAATATAGTAGATAACATGATAAAGAGAATCTATAAAAGCAATATTAGTAGAATAAGATCTACAAGTTTGACATGTTGGCCAAATTATCATACTCCTTATATGATTTATTGCCTTTAAGGTGGATGGGGAGGGGGGGGGTCTTAATTAAAATCCATAGAATTTTTTGATAATCTGTCAACATGTAGTTTTTATCACGCTTTTTTCCAAAATATAACAAAAAGTATGGGTCACCGTACTTTTTTTCACGCTACAGGTTGTGCAAAATTGTCAGATTTTGTATAGATTATGCATGGAAAATCCAATTTTGTGTGATAAAAAGAAAACTACACCGTAGAATTTTAAGATAAGATGTGAGAAGCTATCTTTTATAACATGCTTTCAGATAAGAAAAAGAAAAAATTGGGGTCATCAGACTTGTTTTCTTGCTACATATTAAAATGGGTTAATTCACAACACTTTCTATTATAAAAATTACTTTATCTGAGTTATCTCCCCTACTATCTGAGTTATCTCCCCTTATGTGGCAAAAATGAAAAAAAATTAATCAAACAAAATTAATAAGATTTTTAGAAAAAACAGCCGTAAATATGACAAAACACATAATTTTCTATATTAACATGAAAAATCTTACACATGAATTACATACTACTGTTAAAATTTGCTCATTTCATTAAAGATCTAGACCAATTGTTATCTGCTACTTCAAAATCCAAGATGGAGGAAGACACCCGAGCCACCTTAAATGAAGATATAAAAACTGTGTATTCTGTAGATTCATGTATTTTTTGTAGATTTGGGGAAATTTGTATTTTTGTCAATATTTAATTTCATGGTTTTGCTAAAGTCTGCATACAAGCCTGAAAAAGCTATACTTCGTTAAACATTTCAATTTGTTATTCAAGCTTACTGAAATACATGAAAATTGGTATCCCACGAATAATAATGAATCCAAAGTATTATAATTGTACCAATTGTATCAAAAACTTTAATAGATAAGTGTATGCTGTTAACACTTAACATTATCATCAATACAAGATCTACAAACTAGCCACTAAATGAAATTTACAATTGAGCAAACATAACTGATTGCAATAAAGGTGAGCAAATTAGGCTCTTGGGAGCCTCTTATTTTTTTAATTATAAACATACATTATTATCTATTGGCTGATCACTTCTCTGAAATATTTTTTTAATTTTACAAATTTGTAATAAATTAATCGCATCGCAACAAATCAAGTATAATGTTTTCTCAAGAAACATTTCTGTTTGTACTGACATCTATTATAATTCTATAGTTGATTTGATAAGTGTCTTAAGCATGTTTATTTAGCAATCAAATTATATGCAGTAAATTGGGATATTTTGGCTGCAGTCATATTTTGGTTTATTTGGCGCCATAGGTGAAAGTGCAAAATGAAACACACAAAAATCAAACATTCATCAAAGAGATAAATACAAGATGCAAATCAAACATTATGAGTAATAGTTACAATATAAGAATAAGAAGATGTAGAACTATTCACCAGAGACCAATGACGTAGAAGTTGGCAATTAAATGTCACTTTGCAGCCTTCAACAATGAGCCAAACTACATAGCTAAAAAAAGTCCCGGTATGACAAAATGTAAAGCAATTAAAACTAGAAAACAAACAATTTGATTTATGTACAAAACATTGAAAAAAAAATATATGATTTATTCTAATGAGGAAGATAAAAGAATTAAATAACTAATAGGATTAAAACATAAAAATGATGTATTAGTTTAATGTCCCTGCATTCTTAATTACCGGAGCAAAAGATTATTTTAACACAATTCGATCTATTAAAATGTTAATTTCAATAAATTTAGCCTCAGTTCCAAGGGCAAGTTAGCTAATACTGCAATAATATGATCAACTCATTACCAAAATGATGTCAATACAATATATATATATATATATGACATATGAACCAATCACTTACTAAAAACAATTAATTCCATTTTGCAAAAATGAAAATATACTAAGCTCCGACGTAAAGTTGAAAAATTTGACACCAAAATTTAATCACCACGGTTATGGTAAAAGCCCCAAACCCTTAACCAAAATATCCTGATTTACTTGATTCTTGTGAAGAATACCCTGAAAAATGAACTTATTTTTTATTATAATGATTTTCTCTGTTAAATGTATATATATATATATATATATACAAGTCTAAATTGAAAACAATGTTCAAACCTATGATTGCGTTGGAAAAAAACCGCAATTTTTATACGTGTGCATGCAAAACAAATTTCTTGTTAGAGGGGTCTAAATACAGCACAAACAACATTTTCCAAAAGACCAAAAAAGTGAAAAGGTATATTTTAACAAAACGCATTTGACTAACAGGTCGAACAACAAATGTTCTTAAATCCTGCTGACTGCCATTGGCGATTGCCAAATAAACGGATCACAAGGTGTAATAAATGGATCTTAACTATAAATTTAATACCAAACAGAAAACAATAAACTAGCGGCAAAGATGGTATACCGCAAACAAAGGTGCAAAGATTTTTTGTACACTATATCCGGATTTCGACAATTAATGTCTCTTCAGTGATGTTAGGAATCGAAACGGTTATTGGAAGGCCACATAATTTACCATATATATATATATATCCTGTTAACTGCATAAATTTTCAATGTCATTTGAGTTATACATATAAGTGCAGTCCTATTTGCTGAATTTACAGAGAATCTTTTGATAGATAAACAATTTTATTAATTAAAGGGGGTAACCCAGAGTTAAACAGTTTGAATTTTCAGTGGATTGGCTTGTTCTGTAATGTAATTTAAGTAATATTTAGCAAGATAAAGTATAGCGACAACAATTTTTACTCTTTTCTTTTAATGGTACGTTCTACATTTTTTTATGTGAAATAACTGCTGAGGAAAAAGTTACCCCTCTACTGCGACTCTGGACAATTATGCTATCATCGGATGCAGATTTTTTTTTTTTGAGTTTCAATACAACAAATCTTAAGATGATTTTTAATTTACACAATTAACATAGAATTCCCCTCTTAATAAAAAGGGAATCTAATGTAACACCTCCCTACATACAGAATACAAATCTTGTCATGACCACTTCCTTTCAGGCATGATATGTACATACAATACAAAGGCAAAGGTAAATATATTTTGAGCGTGTTGAGGAACTTTACTAGCTTTTTTTTTAGTGTCCTGTTCTAGAGAACATTATCTAGCAAAATATAACATTTAAGATTTGACGATTTGTTTGTTTTATATATGTTTTCAAATTTGCTTTTTAAGAATTATTGAGACTGATAATTAATATTTTCTTAGAAAACCTTCATTTTGCTACACTATTGATAATTTTTTTTGATTTGGAAGAAATAAATATAATCAGTTGTAGTCCTCATATGATGTGTTTTTCACAAGTGTGTTATTTTTCTTTTCTCCTGTGCTGGTAGGTTTACGAAATTTTTGAAACGACACAAAACAAATTAATAAGCAGACATGGCCTAAGCCACCATAATAAATTAAACAAACAAACTTGAAAATTATTGATAAGAATATAAATATAATGTAATAATGTTTTCACTACATTATCTTTTCATCTCATTAGTTTTTTTTATTTTGTAAAAAATCTTTAAATAAAGTATTGACTGAAATTAGACATCAGAGACAAAAGTCTGAAGATAAGGCTATCATTTTGATCATTGATTTTCCAATAAAATATGCAATTTTAGGTAATCATAATGACATGGTGATGGCAATATGACACCCCTATTGGTAATAATGGAATGGTCTACATCATTCTCACAGACTAATTATCCAGATGTTCCAACTTCACATTGGAGGTGTGTTTTGAAAACTGAGTCATAATGACAGAAGCATGTGTTGATTAGAAGAATAAAACAGATTTGTTGTGGAATAATATGACATGTTCAAGGTAACAAAATAGCAAATACACTAACCTATTTATTTCATCACATGAATACACAGAAGGAGTTCATTGGAATTCTTATATTTGAAATTGCAATAAGAGTACAGTTGTGTGTTGCATACTGAAATAATATAATTTAGATAACATAATTTCATTAGACATGTTAGAAGGAGATTGGATTTTTTGAAACCTGTAAATGTTTTGATTGGGTGGTAGAAAGTTGTAGCAATACATAGTTTTTGTTTCCCTGCAATTATACTTAAATGATTTTGATATGAGGTTTAAAAAGGAAATTTCCATTTACCATTATTGTATGGAATACAGCTAAGAATAAAAATGTGGTGAGTAAAGTGTTCATTATATAAATACTGGCAGTTTGTTAATGAAAGATGACATGATAAGATGTACTCTAGAAACACTGTCTTATCATGTTTACCTGAAGGTTTTATGTATATACTATTATTAGTTTATGTTACACCACTACAAGTATTGGGATTCATCCACTGATCATTATTGTGGGTTACATGTATTCCCGGACTTCAAAGGAGTGTGAAGAAAAAGAAATGTGGAGTATGTAAATGTCAATGCAGACCAACTATAGATACCACAGAGATTACTTTTACCGGAAGGGAGGGGGAGGGTGTAATGACCTTTTTGTAGTCTCTGTTGTTTAGTAGGATGAGGTCTATTTATGAGGCCCCCATCTGAGCAATACAATGATACAAATATAGAGATGATATCTGATGGTGGGCCAATGACACAGTCTTCAAAAATATCATATGTATAATACAGGGACTGAAAATTTGAAATGTACAACAATTTTGTATAGGCATCATATACAGAATCTGCACAAACCTCGGAATTGGTATACAAAATGTTTTTTCCTCAATCCATGAAAATTTAAGACGAAAAATAATGACATGACCACTACAACTAACCAGATGCCTTCCATGACCATATTGTTTCCAGCAATAATCAAATTTTGAGTCAACAGCCTTTTTGTCTTTTTCTCAATTGAGGTCATGGTTTTGAACTGTAGCTGAAAGTATAACTGTGTTTAGCTTCTTCATTAGTCATCACTAAGCACACAGCACAAAGCATTAAGGAGTAGGAGCAAAGACAGATTGAGTAAGAGTAGGAGCAAAGACAGATTGAGTAAGAGTAAGGACATGTCTTTCTGTAGACTCAAACTTTTGCACTAGCATGTTATAAATTCTGCCAGTCAGTCTAAGTACTACGCAATGTTCAAATTTATGTTAATTAACATGTTATAGTTTCTTAAACATGTTGAATATGCATGTGATATTTGACACTAGGTGTCATGGCATTTATTATTCAGATATGATAGACTCTTGTATAATTATTATTGTTAAACCATTTTTTTTTAAATTTCTGCACAAAAATATAAGGGTTAGTTCCCCTTCACAGGGACAGGGAGGCATGTGTTTTTGAAGACTATTAACCACTATGAAAGTCATATTTTATTTAAAAACATTGCTTATTAAAGTTGAAATTTGTTCTTACTTCACCTACAACTCCTTGCTTAAGAAAATTTTCAACACCCCTCCCCCCTCCATCTTAAAAATTCTTGAAACAGCCCTGCTTTCATGAACTGGAATTATTCATGAATATTCCTGAATAATTCTAGAACATTCATGAATAATATTCATGAATATTCATGAATATTCAAGGTTACAATTCATGAATATTCATGAATATTCATGAATGTTAAATGGCACCTTGAATATACATGAATATTGTATGAACTGAATAACCAAGAATTAACATGAATATTTATCTACAGAATATTCTTGAATGTGAAAAAGGATGTCCATGAGTATTGAATAGTGGAATACTGACTTAATTTAGGATAACCATTACTGTGAAATAAGATGTCCATGAATATTGAATGGTTGAATATTCTAGAATAACCATGAATGTGAAGTATCCATTAATATTTTAGAATAACCATGAATGTGAAATATCCTTGAATATTCTCGAATAACCATGAATCAGAATGTGAAATATCCTTGAATATTTTAGAATAACCATGAATGTGAAATATCCTTGAATATTCTAGAATAACCATAAATGCGAAATAGATGTTATTGAATATTGAATGTAGAAATAAATTTAGAATACCATGAATACAAATATGAGGGGCAGAAGGTCTTTCTTGGGCTTTTATTTTTGCAGGAATTCAGGATTTGACCTTTATAATGCAGTTCTAAATATATTTTGCTATTTTTGCATTCTTGATATAAAATATTAAATGACAATTTAAGAAAATCACTTTATGCCCCTGGTGACGGTGACGGTGTCTGACCCTTGCGAAAATGGATATCTCAGGATAATCAAGGGGAAAAATCCCAGGGCAACTACAGATAATCCTTATCCTGAGATATGGTTAAACATGGGACGGTATTGGAACAAGGATATTCCAGGGATATCCAGAGACCATCCAGACCATAAATATCATAGTAAAGAATCTTGTGATAATCCTGTGCTCAGGATTCATCAGGTCCTGGTCTCAGGAAATTATCCTGATGTCAGGATTTACAGATTTGCTTGCATTAAGTTGGCCCTGGGATAATCGTGTGAATATCCTGAGAATGTCCTTAGTTCAGGACCAATAATGTCTTGCATGTATTCTATAAAGAATTAAAAAAATTGAGTAAAATCTATTTTTAATACACAAATTTGTTCTTTTGCAAATATTTTCTTTTATTAGTTTAAATCCATATTCCTCTTTATAAGGTAGACGATTGCCCTTGTTGTATCAAATCTGTCATGTATATATAAACATTGCAGTATGATTTACATTGACTAATTAATTTATTACAGCAAGATGTATTGTAATAAGTAATGAGTATTTGTATTGGCCATGTTTATATAATATCTTATTCCAATGGCTGTCAAGTTCCCATTTAAAAAAAAAATTACTTGACGTATTTAATGTCAGATCCTTAAACTTCCATCAAAATTAGATACTAGTACTACTAGCAAACTTGTTTGCCATTTTTAATGGCTGCTTATATTGTTAAATTACCCATTAAAATGGTACCCCTCCACACCCCCTCCTGCCATATTGTATTTAGATACGCATTGTTCACCATGGCTTAATGATGCTCGCTGTTCAGTTTTATAATATTAAAATTGTGTGTCAGATATAAAGGATACATGTGAAGTTCTCCTCCTTTCTGTAATTAAATTTGCTGTCTCTGTACTTCCAACTAGTATTGCTGAGTAAAGGTAACTGGAATCTGCATGCATGCAATCCGTTTACTTTCAAAATTGGCAGCTCCATTTAATCCCCTAAAAGTATCGAAAAAATCCACAAAGAATCAATTGTTCTAGACGTTTTGAAGCAATAAATTCAATAGAAATATTATTGCATGATTATACAGTATACATTGGAAGCCATTTGGAATCAAATTAAATACCCTCCCCCTTTTTTATCCCCTGAAGATAAAAAACTAGCGACTTATTATTTTCACCAAATAACCATTTACACAATTCAATTAATTATTTACATATCTACCAGTGATGCCTGTTATGTGACAACAAGATTATTCAATTGTTAAAAATAAATATATTTTCAGTTTATGCTTTCAGACTTTCTGATGTTGATTTGCTCAAATACAAACCATAAAAAAATCATAGTTCCTCAATAAATTATATTTTATAATATCATTATATACACATGTTAAATTAAATTTTTAATACACTTATCTGAAAACATCTTCATGGGATTTTCTATGTTGATTTGTTCTGCAACAGCGTAATCACATTTTCATGACGTTTTTATCGAGTACGCTAACGTCGAGGTGACAATCTCGCCCCATATTATATCGGCCAAAAGTTTATCCGTCCCCGTAACGGTATTATAAAATTAAATCAAGGGTGTGGTATACAAGTATTTATTACGGGCCAGTTTTTAAAAATAAGAAAAAACAACTTTAATTTAATCGGCACAGGGTGCATAAGGATGAACTAGTGGCTGCATTATCTAGGACGATATTTTCTAGGGTCGGACTGTTCAGTACAATTACACAAAAAAACACGTGGTCATGACTTGTTTACATTTTACATAAGTTGAGAAACCAAGGTTTTACGATGTCGATCGTTGGCCTATCATTGATCTGATAATGTTTCTAAGTTATTTAAATGCCGGACAACAGGTAGAAAATCAGAAACGATCCAGCTTGTCTGGCAAAACAGCCGTTGGCGTTTCTCGGGCGCCCTGTCGTTTTTATCGCGAAAATCTCGGCATTTTTCTGACTTTGAAATACTGACAAACTGAAATTCGTAATTCTTCCATGAAAAGGAAGTTCAGCTAGCTGTGTAAACTGTCAAATTAAGTGACCCATTAAGTGCAGGGCTTCACCTGACAGCTTTGGTGTCAAACACATTGTTAATTAACACCAATAACCTTTGGCTTTGCTTTATTTCATAAATAATTTGTGTATTTCAAAAATGTTTCAGTTACCTCCCGTTTTTTATCACCTTTTTCACAATATATTCCTTAAATTTATTGGTTTTTTTTCTAAAAAAAAAATATAAAACAAATTGAAAGCAAATGCATATCAGAATATTACTTTTAATTATTTTTAACCTGAAAGCACTTAAAATATAAATATTTTGAAAATTATTTTTTTCATCTTTACTTCCATTAATTGATCTAGCAAGTGCATTAAAATAATAATTCAAATTTTTCTTTAACAGAGGACATCTGTCATTTTTAGAAAGCAGCAGGTGGGGGAGAGGCATTATAAAAAGGGCATCCAATTTTACAAAGCAGCGGCTCTTTTCACAAAAAATCTTAAGAGTAAAAATACTCGTAAGTCATACACATTTCAGTTTAACTTACGATCAATTTTAATCGTAAGATATTTTGTGAAAGTAAGATTTTTTGTGAAAACAGTCGCAGCAGTTTACGGGTAGGGTCATTGAAAAATCAAACATAAGGGCTTGATGTCACATGAAATATTCATGATTTTTTCATC